TAATTATTATATATTGTTGTTGACTATTCTTTCAGTTAGATATTAATAAATTAAGATTGATTCATTTAGAAATAAGATTGCTAATTGAGGTTCATAATATGACTTTTAAATATAACATTTTTTACTGTTAGTTAAGAGATAATTAATTATTTATTTCTTAAGTTTATAGCTGGTTCACTTAGATTAGATTAAGAATCAGAAATTTTAATTAAGTTTGCCTGCATTTAATTACTATTTTAAACTGCATCTAATCCCACTTAAAATTCAATTACATTTAGCATCCCAATATTATAGCAATAAGACATTTACAAATTTTAGACCATAAGACTATTTATTCCACCAAGACTCAATAAATAATTATGGAATTAAGGAAGAAAAGAAGATTCTAACTTAGGTATTTAAAAAAAAGGCTCATTTATATTAAAAAAGCTTAAATTTGTTAACTCAAGCTAACTTACCAAAGACAGAAGAATAAAATTCGAGCTATTCATTTTACTAACTTACAAATTTTCTATGGTTGCGCTGATTCCATAAGTAACTTAAATAATAGGTATTTTTTATTTAATTTCATTAAATTTTGAATTTTTTATGCTAATAGAATAAAGAAATTGAAAATTTATCATCAAGCCAGTGAAGTTAACAAATCCTAAATTCAATGAGTTACTAAAAGAAATATTATCAAATTAAACTTATTTAACTTATAAAAAATTGAACAAGTAGGGATTTATTTTATTGTTTAAATTTTTTTAATTTATCTGATTCCATTAAGCTTAAATCTAATCACTAAAAAAATTTTCAGATTAATTTACAAAAATTAATCCTTGAGAAAAATTGGTGTTAGCAATGAAGATATTTTACATTTAAATATTATTTGAATTATTCACCAAAATCATTGTCTGATTAAAGTTGCTCTAGTATATAGAAAGATTTCTTATCATAATTTACTAGATTTCTTAGAATGAAAAAAAGTAAGACTAAGACTAAAAAGTGACATTTTAAATTTCCAGGTTATTAATTAAAATATCTGTGATATTTTAAAAGATGAACTAAGTTGTAATTACTTAATTAATAATTTTTATTTCATTTATTATTAGCTTTTTATAAGAATTCAAAAATATAGATCCATTTTGTTAGCCAAACTATATTGTCATATTAGAGAATTAAAGTTATTCTAAATATTAATACTAATTAAAATTTAGAGAGTCAATCAAGTTAAAATTGAGAATCATATTTCCTAATTTTAATTTCTTAAATTAATCTGATATGAATTCAGTTGAAGAAATTTGTAATTAAT